GTCTCGGGGCTTGGCAAAGATGGTGACAGTAGATGACTGATATGTGAGCACCCGTACCTGCGTGTGTGTCTTCTGTAGCGGTAAGCGGTCCTAGGCGTTGATGCTTTATCCAGGCGACACAACGAAGTGAACTATTCTGGTGCCTCTGGTGCCAAACTGGCGCTTCCCCCATTAATCTGCAGGATTGGCTCTTCCGGCACTCCAAGCCTTACGAGCTCATAAATACCCGCCTCGCTTTACATCCGTGAAGTGTGTACCTTCGTACCCAACAACAAACCGTGCAGTCTGGCTCCCACTCTGTGACGCGCCGCGGAGAGGAGGGGGTCATTGCGCAGTACCGGGTCTTAAAATGGGGTTGGCAGGTAATTCTGCGCATTTAAATGATGGTGGCGGGTAATCCTGTTCATGAAAATAGAGATGATGTTCGTGGAATGCGTTCAAGCCCGACCTCTGCCTTGGCCTGCATCGCGTGCAGATGTCGTAGATGGTGACTGTCTGGACAAAGACACGACTGAGCCAGTGTAGCCAGCGGAGCGGAGGATGACACCGCGTATAGTACGTTTTGACGCGTGATCGGTTACATCTTTCACAAACGAAGCATATTTCCCGCATGGAAGGCATGTTAAAGTGGTGGTCGGTCCGGCGCTCAGCAATCACCCAGGTTGTTTTCGGTTCTATCGCTAGCACGACGGGTTTATACGATATGCGGTGGATAAAAGGAGCGGCCAGCGGCCACTTCGGGCCACTCGTGCTTACTCCTCCGCACTGGTAGTGCCCGAGTTGGAACACCCGTACTGTTGTTACCTTTGATTAGTTGAGAATCTTCGGACGAGGTATGCGAAAAAAACATAGAGGGAAAGTGCTCACAGCTTGATGTCCTGTTCTTGCAATAAATGCACCCTGCCTTTATATTTGATACAGTACTGTATCGCTATCTAGAAACCAGCTACGAATGCTTAGAGTTCAGTTGTGTTTGTAGCCAAGAGCTGACTACCTGCCGACTTAGATGGGACGCTCCTGTCCGCACGCCGCACCACCCACCTAGCTACCCTCCGTTCGTTGGCCGCAAAGGGTGAAATCACCCGGAGGTTAGAGGATGGAAGTTGCCATGGTGATTTTGTCAGTCGCTTCTACACCTTCAAACGACATGAGCGAGGCAGTTGCATGTAATACCATTTTGCCCCGGTGAGGCCGTGGCCTCTGGGATACCAATGAATAAGGCTGCTGATGGCAAAATTGGATTTTCTGGTGCCCGTGCAGCATCATATCTCCTTGTTAAGTTCTGTAGACTAGCCAGGTCATCCATTGCTCGATGTGTCGCTAGTGTTTCTTGGACATGCCCTTTCTGCACCGAACCCGTAACCCTTGGAGGTCCAGGCTTTGCTTCTACTACTATAGCGCCATATATTTTAGGCCGTCCGGAGCCGATTGGCCCTTTTCGGACTCTCATATCCCATGCCGTTTTGCGGCTGCGGACATGTTGACACCTGTCCGAGGCCTCATTAATGGCCAGAAAGGGGCACTACAGGCTTTGCCTACAACATGCAGAAGAGTAAGCTTGCCTCACAGGTACGTGCACTTCAGGGCAGCCATCTACTGCCCTGCAGTAATTACCCTGAAGATGAGTGTGGAGTCAGCATTTCATACATCGTCTTGCGACCATTCTGGCCATAAGCGGCATCATCAGAAAAGACATTTTAGCCTATTCCGCGACACGAGTTGCACCCAGGCCTTGCACTGTACAGTAGCAAATGTTATTTTGGATTGCAGAAAAGGTTGGGAGGCTTGATTCCTATTCAAAAGGGGGTTTTGGAGCAGTTTGCCGCAAGCAAAGGAAACTGCTACCTGGCGTGTCATGGCCCATAGCCCGGTCGGCAATGCTAACACCACTGCGTTTAGACGGCATGGTGGGGCTTAGCATGCGTGTCAACGGTGACTTACCGGTAGTAAGCAGAAACTAGCCCACAGTGAGACAATTGCTATGCTGGCTCCCTCAGCCAATACAGGAAATGCGCCGAGGGCAGTACCGGCAATCAACAATACAACTTCACTCTGGGCATGATGCCGAACAGTAGCTTATGGTGCTCAGTTGTAGTCGGAAACTCGTACGGAACATCACGGAGTTGGACGATCTGGCACGCGTGTCTTTAATGGTGACGTTCTGGGATCATACTCTCTCTGGTCCCCGTCGCGCTATAGCTTCCGTGTCGCAAGTGCCACGTTACATGACTGCTCAGGCCAGAGACTGATCTTCAACTGGCTAGAAAGGCAGTAAAGATGTTACCGTCCCGTCAGTTTGGAAGCACGAAACACGGGGTTCTCTTCGGTCCCTGAACAGCCTTCGACACGGAGGGCCGGGCGGCAAGCCCAGTCCTGCTTGGCGCAGATAAAGTATTTCTAATATGAGTATTTCGGGCAGCATTGAGCTTGAGCCATCTGAAGGGCTTTTGTTCCCGCCAAATAGAGATGATCCTTATCATCTGCGCCAGCCTAGCAAACTACCTAATACCGAGCCGCTGGTTGCTGAGTGGCAGTGCATTTGAATACCGTTGTCACCTCCAGCTGAGCGTGTTCTCCACCAAAACTGGGCTGGAAATATCTGGGGCTCGGTTTCGATTTGTCTTCCACTGGCCACTGCTAGATTGCTTGGGCGGACTACTGTTGATATGATTTGAGAACGGACCTGGGAGCATAGACGGATTCACAGGAGGACTGGTCACAAGCCCCGCACACCGTATCTCCAAAGAACTTTGACTGGTCGTTGCAGAACCGAAACGTCGATATGACTGTTGACGGTGTTTGTATCGCTTGGCGACAACGAATGTCATTGTACCGCACAACAAGCCAAGACCAACTGCGCCCATGGCGATGCCAGCGGTGGTGGCTTTTTGCTTCGGAGATTGGTCTCCTGTTTCATTGGTGGCAAATACATCGTTCTCTGGACTACTGCTAGCTGGTACTGTGGCAGTGGTGAATCGTCCATTGGGAAGGGGTTCCTTATCACCGGCCGCCCGTCCGGGCTGCTGAGCCACAACAGTTGAATCAAGGCTTGTTTCAGGCTTGGAGGTGCTCGAGCCAATTAGACCAGCCGAGCTGTCAGGGACTGTAGGTGGCAAATGCAACTCCCTGGCTGTTGCAGAGTCGCCCAGAGACGGCAACACCGTGGCAGAAGAATATGTGGGCAAAGCGTTGCTTGCTATCCTCGAAATCGACCTACTGCCTCCAGTAACAGCGCTATTCTCCTTGAGTATTCCATGGGCAACCTTCTTGTCGAACGGCAAAGATAGATGAAATGCGAACTCGGAGCGTATGGGGATTGACGAAGCCGATGACAGCAAACTCGTGCGATACTGGACGTCAAGAGACGTCATATGTGCAGCGAGGCTGGATGACGGTGAGACTGAAGTCTTCGCAGTTTTGCCCTCCGGAAGAGGTGTTTGTTTGAGGAAAAACCTTGTCATGTTCGGCGCCCAATCTGAGGTATTTTCGGAATACGACGCGTCGGTGGTACGGTCTGGTCCACGAGGACTGGTCGCCACGCTACTGGTCGGAGCATCAACAAAAGCCAATCCAGATATGCGACTTGCACTCGATTGAGGGGCCTCTAAAGGCACTGCGGAGGTGGTTGGAGTCGAGGTGCCTGGTGCCGGATCCAGCAGGGCCTGACTAGTGACTCCGCGATCTCCTGACTCAAAAGGTTGAAAGCCGTAGCTTTGGCGAGGGGTTTGATAAACTGGTACAAATGTTGTCGGCTTGCCTCCAGCAGCCTCGACCTGAGCGCTTGGTGCCAATGGGGGAATGGTCGGGAAAATTGTATCTTTACGAGTATTGACATGTTGGACGCGAGTGGTCCAGCGTTCAGAATGGCTGGTCTCCATAGTTTCCGCCACGACAGTCGAAAACTTTGATCGTTCCCCACTCCTAAGTTTGGACGAAGTTTCAACCCCAACGCTCGGTTCCGTTGTGATGGAATCGGTAGATTGAGTCAGCGTTGATGATTTCGACTCACCCATAGTAATACTTCTTGCCGTGAATGGGTCCGCTGCGGCGGCGGTCCTATTCACAAATTGGCGTTTGATGTAAGGACCACTGAAGATGTGATGATGCTCGGGAGTGAACACTGCACAGCCATGGGCAACCAAAGCCAGAAGTACAATCATCACCTTCACCGCCATCGCCGTTGCCGTGGGCGATAACCAGTATAGAAATTTCTCTATTCAATAATGGGCACAGCGGCTAATGTTGGGACTCGACCGGGAGGTCCCGACGCACGGATGTTCATTAGGAATATGACAGTAAATACTTGTAATCCATGTCTTAAGACTATAGACGCAGGTGAGCTGTCTGTCTTAAGCGCTTGATAGACTCAGAAGATTATGACCGGCCTGGGGCAGTTTATGGTCGATGTAGCTTGGCGCATTGGCCAGAAACGTCATTGTCAGAATACAGGCGGTCGTAACCGCCCTTTTTGCGAACTAGTCTGGAAAAGAAAGCTTTGGGCGATTTACCGACCAAGAAGCACAATTGAACGACGTGCTACTTAACCGTATTTTCTTTTTGCCGTCGATGACCCACACATAGGCGTCCGTAATGGCTAGCGAGACAGGCGATGGTGGACAAAGGACCTGACGCGACTCCGTCGGACGTACACGTATTGGCGCAATCAAGCAAGGGCGCAGCGAAGAGCCGGTCAATCGCGGCCGGATCTGGAGCAGCGCGCCAAGGAGGCTGCGAAGGAGTACCACGACAATTTGCGGAGACAAAAGAAGGCCCATTGGGATGACTTCGTCATCGAAGGGAGCAACATCTGGAGGGCTGCCAAGTATCTGAAGCCTGGTACGGAGATGACGGATGACAAGGTGCCCCCGCTGAAGAGAGCCGACGGCTCGATCACTGAAAGCAAGGGCGAGCAAGCCGAGGAACTCCTGAGCACCTTCTTTCCGCCTCTGCCAACGAGGATCGAGCCGGAGGGTGAACGTCCGCAGAGACAAGAAATAGCCATGCCAGACCTCACCTTGCAAGAGATTGAGGAGAAGGTGATGGCGGCGAAGCCCTGGAAAGCGCCTGGGGAGGACGGCCTTCCTGCGATCGTGTGGAAGAAGCTCTGGCACGTGGTCAAGCACCGGGTGTGGACGCTCTTCAGCTCATCGCTCCGAGAGGGCGTCGTGCCTCATCAATGGCGAACGGCTAAGATCATTCCCCTGAGGAAACCAGATAAAGGGGTTACACCTTGCCAAGGCGTGGCGACCGATTTCTCTCTGTCAACGCTTGGCAAAATCCTGGAAGCAGTCGTTGCGGAACGTATCAGCTATGCAGTAGAGGCTCAAGGGCTTTTGCCCGCGAACCACTTTGGTGCACGGAAGCGCAGGTCCGCAGATCAAGCACTTGTGCTTCTGCAGGAGCGGATCTACAAGGCCTGGAGAACGGGCAGAGTGCTCAGCCTCATCAGCTTTGACGTCAAAGGCGCATACAACGGAGTGTGCAAAGAGCGAATGCTCGAAAGGATGAAAGCCCGAGGCATCCTGAGTCGTCTGGTCAAGTGGATAGACGCATTCTGCTCGGGACGGACCGCGTCGGTGGTTGTCAACGGGCACACATCCGAGCAACAAACCCTGCCGCAGGCCGGCCTACCCCAGGATCCTCTGTCGCCAGTGGCTTTTCTTTCTTCAACGCAGACCTGGTGCAACGACGGATCAGTAACAATGGCGGCTCCATCGCCTTCGTGGACGATTACTCTGCCTGGGTCACGGGGCCAACGGCAGAGTCAAACAGAGATGGTATTCAATCGATTATCGATGAGGCGCTTGATTGGGAGAAGCGCAGCGGCGCCACATTTGAAGCAGAGAAGACATCCGTCATCCACTTCACACGCATCGCGGAGCGCGACAGCGACCTGCCTCTCATCTTCAAAGGAAACGATGTCAGCCGAAGAGCAACGTGAAGCTGTTGGGAGTCATCATGGACAAAGCGCTTCGCTTCAAAGAGCACATCGCCAGAGCAGCCGCCAAGGGCTGGCCGCGGCCATGTGCTTGAAACGACTGAAGATGGCCTCGCCACGGATGGCGAGGCAACTGTTCGTAGCGACGGTGGCGCCAGCCATGGACTATGCCTCAAACGTGGTCGCACGCGTGCGGGGTGAAAGAAGCGGCGTGGATTGGCAGGGCCCAGCGAATCGGAGCCCAGGCTGTCACGGGAGGCTTTCGCACAGTGGCAACGGCAGTGGCCGAGGCCGAGGCCGGCGTGCAATCGTTCCGAGAACGGCATGCTCAAGCGGCAGCGAAATTCTGGATAAGGATGCGGACGCTCCCGAAGACGCATCCTATGACATCGTTGAGGCTCAAGCTGAACAGGAGGTATGCGTCACCAATGCAGAAGCTCGCCTCGGCGATGGGAAGACTAGATACCAAGCGCCTGGAAGTCATCCACGAGTTCGCACTGGCGCCGTGGGACGAACGAATGCAGGCAACGTACGAGGCAGACCGAGCGGAGGTGCTGAAGTCGGATGACCCGGAGGACATCACTATCGCGACGTCCAGCTCGCAAAGGAAAGGCAAGGTCGGGTTGGGAGGCGTCGTTCGGGATGCTTCCCGTGACAGCGCAGACGAGGTGCTGGCCAGCTACTCCGTCACCCTTGGCTCCAGTGATGAGCAGAATGCCTACACAGCAGGACTCGAGGCAATCGCCATGGCCCTGAGGTGTGTACCTAGGTCTTCATGACCGACAGCTCACAGTTGTGACAAGCAACCGCTCTGTCCTGCAAGTCATCGGGCGACCGCGGCAGCAGTCTGGTCAGTGCACGATACGGGCGATATACGGATCTGTTGAGTATCTTGCGAAAAGAGGCTGCAGAGTCAGACTTCGTTGGGTGCCTGCAAAGAATGAGGAGTTCAACCTTGGGCCACTGGCCAAAATGCAGGCGAAAAGAGCGACGCGAGATGAATGCATCGCTGAACCAGCAACGTTTCAGGCAAGAGCAACGACGTTACGACTGCTGCTCAACGAACACACTCGCGTTCGTCAGATCCCAGAAAGGGTTGGAAAGCACTCAAAGCGCATCGATAAAGCATTGCCGGGCAAGTACACCCGCAAGATGTACGACGAGCTAACTAGAAAGGAATCTGAAGTGTTGGTACAACTTCGAACTGGCAAATCACGACTGAATGGCTACCTTTGCAAAATCGGGGCAGAGGAATCGGATGAGTGCACCTGCGGACAGTCGGCGGAAACGGTGGAACATTTCTCTTCGATGCAGAAGATGGACGGTACAACGAGAAATCATGCTTCGATATGCTCGCGGAAAGATGGGAAACCTGTCTTTCTTCCTAGGAGGAAAGGCAGAGTCAGACGACGACAAGTGGCAGCCCGATATGGGGGCTGTACGGGCGACAATACAGTTCGCATTGGCAACAAAACGCTTCAGTATGGACCGACGAGGGACCATGTACTGATCAAGGGATAATCATACTAACACAACAGCCTTCAACTTGGCAGACCGCGCTTCAGTCGCTGAAGGTAGGACGCTGAACACTTGGAGAAACTGACCTTCAAGTAGGCCTGTCATGTCACAGCGAACGAGGCTGGAAACAGATGAAAAGAAGCGTGGGGCTTCAGGTGCGATGGAACCATGTACAGTAGGTACGTAGCTTAGCGTAGTGGCCCTATGGGGGAACCCTCCGGGCGTAATACAACCAAAAAAACAAAAAGAAGGGGAGGGTGGATGACTAAGGAGTTGCTTCTGCTGAGTCTGGTGTAATGTATACCATCTGACACCCCCTTTCGCTCATCCCCCTTATGCTTAGCAAAAATGCCACCGCCCCATACAAAATTGGCCAACTTCACTTACACCGGATCTGCTCAATTGAGAAGCAATTCACAAGCGGCAACCTCTCAAGTAAATGAAAATGGCTAGAGATTCATTTTCGAATGTCATTTGGTTACCCCGGTCCTCATGGTCCGTGACACCCTAGCATCGCAAAATGGCAATTTTTACCCCTAATCCTCTCCTGCCTCCTTTCCTTTCCTCACTTGCTCATCCTCCACCACCTCTCACAAATCGCTTCAAAACGGCGCCGTTCGACATACACGGAAGATTTGATGGTTGAGGCAATTTTAGATATTACGGATAACGGTCTTTCGCAGCACCAGGCCGCTCAGAAATGGGGAATACCCCAGAGGACTGTTTCCAGCAGAATGCGAGGTCAGTCGGCATTGGCTGACCAGAGCCAGCCTCAACAACACTTATCCAGAGATCAGGAGGCCATATTAGTCGCCTGGATACTTCGTCAAGAGCCTGTGGGTTATGTTCCGTCTCAGAGTCAGATCCGCGCTTGCGTCACAGCTGTTTTGAAACAAGAAGGCCGTGAGTCGTATTTGGGAGTTCACTGGGTGGTCAAGTTCATTAGATGCCATCCAGAGCTCAAGAATAAGATTGGAAGACGTCAAGAAGCCAACAGATTCAACTCATTTACCCCTAAAGCGGTGCATTGGTACTTTGACATCAGGAGAAAGAGTACGGGTGGATCAAGCCAGAGAACACCGTAAATGTTGATGAAGGGGAATTACGTCGGGCTTTGGTATGTAATCAACTCTCCATAAGCGATATAAGCTAATCCGATTTCTTTGTTAGGTCTAGACAGTCTGGAAGATGGAAGTTCAGACCCTAAACGGAAGGCTCTTCTCAAGGGGCCCCAGTCCCGCGGCTGGACCTCTTTTACAGAGGCTATCACCGCAGATGGGCGCGCCTTGACTCCCGGATTATATTTAAGAGCAAAGAGCTGCAGAAACAATGGTTTAAGGAAGAATTTCGCATGTTTGCGGACTGGCACTACATAACTTCGCCCAACGGGTGGACGGACAACCACATCGCTGTTGAATGGCTTGAGGAGGTCTATTTGCCCCAAACACGGCCTTCTGACGAGTCTGAGGCTAGGCTTATCATTTTGATGGACATAGAAGTCATGCAACGGTGCATCGTTTCCGTATATGGCAATGGAGTCCCATTAATTTGACGACAGAACAATTGGATGGCTACGTGCTTCTTGAACAATATCTATTGTTGTTACCTTCCATCTCACTGTTCTCATGGCCTCCAGCCGCTAGACAACGGTGCTTTCAATGCCATAAAGGCAGCCCATCGGAAGGAGCTTGACAGACTGGCTCTTTGACGGATTCTGCGCCAGTTGATAAGGTCAACTTTATACGTGCGTACGCGAGAGCCTGTGAGATGGGAATGACTCAGAAGAACATATTGTCTGGCTGGAGAGTAACCGGGAATTGGCCAATCTCACGAGTGAAGGCGCTGCGGCACCCTGAAATCCAACAGGACAGGGTCAAGGCTTCTCCAGAATATTTGGGGTCAGACGATCCGCCGAAAACAAGCCCCCATATTCGTGACCTTGGCAAGAGCAAAACACCTGCGATCTGGAGACGGTATACTAAGATAGGTAAAGGCTGGGAAACGCAGGAACAGACACTAGCAGAGAATAACAGCAAAATAGCCAAGCTCGAGGAAGAAGTGGACAGGTTAAAGAGGGGAAGGAAGAGAAGGGCAATTCAGAACCCCGACAGACGTTTCATGGATCTCGCTGAAGCTTTGGCGGTCGGAGAAGCCATTCCCGAATTTTGGAGTCCAAAAGTCTGTTGTGGTGGATTGTGACCTGTTGGAGACGGGGTCGGAGTCGGAGTCGGAGGCAGCTTCAGGGACTGAAGTGAGAGTACTTGAACCTCCTCCGCGCACTACCCAATCAGGTCGCATGGTCAAAAGACCAAGAATCGGATGAAGAATTCAATTCTCTATCACATGATATAATTATTATGAGTGTATCTTTATTTTGTAATTAGAATTCATGCGGTTCAAAGATCAGATTTTTGGTGAGGCAAGTGTAATTTGTTTGAGCATAAGGGGGGTGTGAGCGAAAGGGGGGTGTCAGATGGTAGTACACGGCAACACCTTCGTCCTGCTATGAGAGAGCAGCTAAAAGTCATAGCCAGTGTCTCGCCAGCCCCGACCTGCACCACACACACCGATAGATTAAATCTATCCCTGTGGAATAACTACAGTAAAGACACCGTATCTAAGTCGACGTCACCATCACTCTCTAAGTCTTCCAGAATCCTACGCACCATAGTTTGTTTGGACGCATATCATGGTCAATTTCCAACAACTTTCTAAACCGAACGGTGGCGTCCTTTCTCTGCAGGTGCTTTTAGAACAATGGCTGCTGTACTTCCTGCCAGAGAAGTACCCCTCGGTCTGGTAGGCATTGCTCTGGTGCAAATAGATACAAGCTACCAAAATATCGCCTCGGTCCCCATTGCCTTACATGTAGTCCGCAAGCCTGTAGGGGGAGCAATCACCACAGTGAAGACGCAAAGTTACATCGTCCGCCCAGGCCAAAGGGTGGTTCTCTGCGTATCTATCTCCTGCGAGTGATACCTTGTTCTGTCCAACTGGCGCCGCATTGTTCAGGCAGGCGTCTACTGTGCCACATGTGTTTTATGACGAAACAGGCGCACCATATAATTTTGGAAGAATCCGATGTAGCAGTGGCCGTGGCGATGTCAGGCAAGTCCAAACAATTCCGACATTCACCTCGATGACTGACCAGAAGGCCCTGGCCCACTGGCCACAACTCGGATTGTCCGAGCTAGCCAAATACACCAGCGAGCGGAGTCGAAGTATGACACCACAGCGAGACTGAAGACAAACCGATACAGCTAACTTTGTAACAAGAGAAGGTTGTGGGTCCGAGAGGTTCAAGCAGCTCACAATGCTCCGAGTACGGTGAACCGCGAAGACTTATACCAGTTCCACCTGGTCCAAGAGCGGTCGATCCTCCTCCCCAGCACGGCCGTCTCGTGGGACTTGGACAACTCGTTCAGGGCCGATCAACGCCACCAGCACGACAAGTCGCACGTGCTGTGGAAGAAGTTAAAGACGGTCGTCATGCTGGACGAGCAAGTGCGCCGCGGGCGATCCGTAGCTGCAGAGGCTACTGAAGCGAATCCCACGGGGCGTGTGGACCGCACGGATCTGGACCTCTTCAACTCAATGTGCTACCACGAGGGTGAGCAAATCCCGTGGGAATTAGGCACTACCGTGGTGACGCCGCCGAACGGGAGCTGGTGGAACCTCAACATGGAGGCCAGCTTGGCGATTAGACTCAGCAGCGGTCGATGATGCGCACCTCCATGTCCTAGCATGTGTGAGAAGAGGGTTTGCCGACGGAGGACGAGGCAGTCATGATCCTCAACCAGGACAATGATAGCACAATGCCGGTGCCGGCCGTCTTCATGTTCGTGCCCAGGATGCCGGTCGTCGTGAACCATAATAACACCCATCAGGGGCTGAAGCTGGTAAACGGTGCCAGTTACACAGCGCTGGAGGTCATCCTTGACAAGTTGGACCTATGGCATCGGATCTCGGCAGACATGGTAGTAAATTTCGGACCGCCGGCGGGGATAATTCTGGAGTCGAAGATAACGAGAGATGCTCACTTCGTCGGCATGCCGCCAGGCACAATCAGCTCTCAGTGGCACTCAAGTGTCGTCCAGCGGGAGCCAAAGCCCCGAAAGAGCATCATCCTCCCCTTTCTGTCATTCGCAGAACGGAAGCGAGGCTGTACAGCGCATGACACGTGGGGCCATGTTCAAAAACCCCGTCTTAGCGAGCCAGAACGTGATGAAGAGAGAACATGGTACTGGAATTGCCGCTATTGCGAGAATCCTACTTACAAGGCTCTTTGCAGAACCTTGGCCCGGAGACATCTGGAAATAATCCACGGCATCCGGATCGAAGCAGCGTATCCAGAAATAAAGAAGAAGAGCGCGGTTCATATCCGTCAAATATTCGAAAAGCAAGCTGTCCAGGCGAAACAGGTCCAGGACCGGCATGGCCACGAGGTCTTAAAGAGCGTGCTCCATAAAGGCGCCATCTCCGAAGCTCTTGCCCGACTCATCACGATGAGGAATTTGTCTGACCGTTGCGCTGAATGGCCCGAGCTACATGCTTTATTGAAACTCATTAATCCTGCTATCGGGAGCGAGGCGGCCTGTTCTCATTCAGAGGTCACTAAAATCATCACAAGGACATATAACAGCACAAAAAAGCTCTTCGAGGAAAGCTTCCGCGGGCTTAATCCAAGATCCATCTCTCCGTTGATGGTTGGAGCTCTCCAAAGCGAACCCTGGTGGAAGTAGGGGAGGCAGAATCAGGTCGGACTCTGTCCGGGCATTTGTCCTTGTCCGCTGACGGACGCTTTTTGGCAGTCACTAATTTGCGTTGTCCGGTCAGTGCCTGCTTGTTTTTCTTATGGGGCTTCCTGTCAAGCTACATTGTCAATGAGCAGACATCTCAATAAATAAATAAATACATAATTTTGGCATATTGTTATGTATTGTTTACGGATTCTTCATATTGTTATGTATTCTTAAGCTTATCAATAATTATTAATATAAGACGGAAGGGTCAGCCACATCTCCGTCGCCGCTGCTCACATCCATGATCTCATCATCAACCGCAACGTACAGCTTGCGAATCAAGTCATTCTTTACCCAATTACTCAAGCATTGCAGTTTCTCGATTCTGTCTGCCGAAAGTCGAGCTCTATCCCAAGAGATAGTACGCCTTGCCCAAGAAAACACTCGCTCTGGGTCGTCCGACATCGCTGGTACGCTAAGTATGTCAATAGCCATCTGGTGTAAGCGTGGGTACTCGACTCTCTGCTCCTCCCTACACCACCACTCGAGCGGATTGTCGGTCATCATATGTCTCGGGGGAGAATTAATGAACTTGTCCAATTCATCCTCATCGCCCGGCTCGTCCAGAACACTCATTGACTGCTTGATGCGCTCATAAGAGGTCACCTCCCGCCTTTCGCAAATGGATCGAACGGCTATTTCCGACGAAATTGGCCTGTCCTTGTACTTCGCCCATTGTCTTTGTGCGGCGGCGATAGCTGTCTGTTGCCACTACACTGCCCAATGACGGTCAAGATACCTCCGCCGTTTGTCCGGATGAAGCAGCAGTGCCGTGGCATATACGGGACTTTTGTCTGTTTCTTCGTAATATTTCGAGAAAATCCACCAGCCCATGTGAATGGAGTTCACCATGTGGGCGTTATCGGCGTATTTGACCTACGTCGGAATTTTAGCTTGGGTTCTTCAACAGTTCAACTCGACGGCGATGCCGCCCACGATTGATGACCAACCTTTGCATTTTCAAATTGCATAAAAAGAATGTCCATGTTTTCCAGCACCTGATCTATTGACGCCCACTGCATTTGCTGCTCCAGAGTGGCCTGGTGAAACGGCTGTAAGAGCTCATGGGTCATCTTCAGTACTTGCCAACCATCGTGAGTCAGGATGTCGTCCTCTAGCTCTCTGTGGTACTGATTAACGAACACCGACAACGGACCCTCTTGGCTGATAGCTGCATCAAGCAATTTGAACCACGAGTTCCAGCGTGTAATGTTGTCGATACCAAGCGCCCTTCCGGCAATGTCATCCCACGCATCGTTGTGAATTGTAGAGTTGCGGATGAATACAGCGATATTGTGGAGTTTTCCCATTGGGCCGATGCTCCGCCAGCCGGCAGTGTCATTTCGTCTCCTGCGCCTGCCATGACGTCCTGACGCAGGCTCCAGTTGAATATGGTCGTGCAAGGCGCCCGCGACAGTGACCTGATTCGATTCATCTTGCGCCTGTTCAATGGCGGCCTAAGGGCGCTCTCGCTGGTCGCAATGAGAAAGGCTTGGAGGGAGAGGCTAATGATGTGGCCGGCGCAACGCGTTCGAGAAGATATTGGATCGAATGCCAAACCGTACTCTCGCAACAAATCAACGGCAAGTTGGCGGAGGCAAGTATCGTTTTTTGCATCGTTGTCCCCGGTGAAGTAGCCGATTTTTTGTGCTAAGCTGTATCTTCGGATGATTCTCATCAGGTGCGGCGTCATAGCTGCGCCTGCGTGAGATCGGCGAAGATTTGGCAGCCCGAGTAATGCCTTGCGGGGCTTGTATGCCTCGTCGACCCATTGCGCGTGAACAGCGATGTATGCCCTGCGCTAGGGAGAAGACCATACATCCATAGCGATGTGCACAAGACTCCGAGCGCCTTCTAGCCACCTGCACACGGATCGTTGATGCGCATTGTAGGCCCTGTCTAGATCCGAAGCAACCGTATTGCCAGAGTCAATCAAGAACTCTTCGACTGCAGGGTTGATAGCGGTCAAAAGTGCCTGATATTCTGGCCATGTCGCGCAGCTCAGAGGCAGATGCCTATTCGCGGAAAGTAGCATCTGTGCCTCTCGGAAGGCATCGACATTGATCACACTCCGCAGAGTGTTGATCTCGTTCTCTCGAGTCGGCCCTAGCTGTTTTTCGCTTGTTCTCGCAAAGGCATTCTCGATGGCCAGTTGACGCTTGCAGCGAGCATTCGTGTCTTCTCTGACGTGTACGTGATGGACCTTCTCAAGATGATAGCGGGCATTGCCAGAAATGTGGGTTGACCACGATGGATTGCGACAACGTCAACAGTAGTGGAGCAAATTGCCACCTGCCGTACGTGGCTCATCGCCTCGAGCTTGCCGAAAGTGATGCCAAGTCGATGTCGCTCTCAACTTTCCTCCTCTTGACTGCTGCCAGAGATGAATATTCTTCAGGTTCTGACGGTATACTGTCAGATTGTGAGACACTCTCGGAGGGCAAAACTGATGCAGGGCTTGACGCTTCATTAGGGCCTCAACATTTGGCCAGTTATAAAGATCTTCCCAAGACGTAAAGAAACGCCACCCATTGTTCTTATCCATGCACGCGAAGCAGTCTGCAACTGCCTTGCGGTATGGAGAATTGCTTGCACATAGTGAGGCCCTACATGTTTCGTTCTGTAGGTTCCACTCAAACCACGGAGCGGTACATTCGTCGCGGCAACCCGCCTGGTTCATGGGATCGCACGAGGCCCTCGTCGCCCAGATCAAGGTGCCAACCAACGCGAGGCGTCCGAGGTTTAACATCTCGAGGAAGTACTGCGATAAACGCTATAGAGTATGTCGCATAGGAATCGGTGTGATTCCGCATGAAAATCGTCTGATGCAAAAAATGAGGTATTGTACCAACGCGAAAAGTAGTCCTTCATTCCCGCCTTGGCATCGCGCACCCAGGCTAGCTGTTCCTCCGCAACCCAAGTTGCTTCTAGCCACCCGAGACCGAACCTTGGATGCAAAATAATGGCGGCCGCAAACAGAGGGGATTCTCCTAGTTTGCTGTAATACTCGTCCAGCTTCTTTCACCCGTTATTTATTGATGTCCGGATAAACGCTCGATAGACTGCTGGCAGGGTGCTCTTCTGCGAGATCTCGGAGGCTGCAGACTTTCCCATTGTGAGATACTCAGTTCGTGAATGCTCTGGCAAAGCCGACTCTGTGAACCTCGACGTTTGGGTCCGCTGTCTGGCTACGTAAATCTCGTCATCATCAAAGCGAGCGGGGAGACGACGCGCACGGTTTGGCCGGCCTCCTGGCGAGTCAGTGGGAATGGACGCTGCTTCAACCGGCTCGAGGTCGACCAAGGTAGCCTGACTCATCGTCTGTATTGTCATCTCCGCGTAAAATGCCTTCCAGTCCTCAAAGTGCTCTAAGAGATATTCCATCCCTACCAACACCTCCCACAGGCGCCCATGGCCGTCAGCTTTGCCCCAGCCCTGGGTCCGCATTTATCTGAAGGTATATTGGCTTGAGAATCGCATTGACTTCACCAAGTACGCGCCAATCCTCATTCGATAATATGTCAGCCGCCGGGATGCGATTTGCCTCATCTTGTTCGCCTTCAAGTGCAAAGAAGAATGCCCGGATGTCCGTCCGCTTCCTCATTTCCTCTCGATCATCATGTATGTGGAGTTCCACCGAGTCTTATTGTTCAGGTTGACCTCCAGTTCCGCAGTAGACTCTTCGTAAAGCCGATATTCCTCATATTCTTCCTCCTGCACAATGCGCTTGAAGTGTTCGCTCCGCTGTGGCGACGATCGGCGGAACTTGACAATGTTATGAAGTTTCCCGATGGGTCCTTTCGCGCGCCAGTGGCTGAGGTCCTGCTCTGCAAGGCCTCGCATGCAATTGATCTCGGATTCGAGTTCGAAGGACTCTGCATCTTTGCCAAAGAGAAAGGCCCGCGCAACAAGATTGAGAATGTGCCCATAACAACGCATCCGGCGTGCCTTGATGTCAGCGGGCCTCATGGATGAGTCCAGCTGCTTGTGCATATAGTGCAGGCAATGATCATTTGCGGCTACGTTGTCAGAGATAACACAGCCGACTCGCCCCCGGATCTTCCAGTCCTGGACGATGCCCACAAGTGACGCAGCAAGGTTCTCTCCGCTATGGGTGCCGAATTGACATCGAAGTGCAAGCAGCCGCGACTGCTGGCGCGCCCCCCGGTCGATGAAGTGTGCGAAGACAGCCACAATCGCAAAACGATTCGACGACGTCCACAGGTCAAAGCTGAGGTGTATCGTCGTCAAAGCATCGCGCAGCTCTGCCTTGATGACATTCCGCTTCGTGTCGAAGAGGTGCTGCAGCTCTCGGGTGATGGAACTGCCACTCCATGGAATCTGCAGCACTAAGTCATGGTCGAACTGGATAAAGAGGCTTCGAAGAAAGCTGTGCTCGAAGATAGTAAATGGCACGTCGCTATCGACTACAAATCCAACGCTCAGCGCTCTGACCTTCGCCTTCAGGATGACGCTTTGTTCGAGCCGACGCCGTTTCGGCATCACGGCCGGATGGAGATCGATGGCGCTGTCATGGCTCGGGCTCGATTCGTTCGACTGGCTGGCTGGCGTGATCCGATGGGTTCTGCGGAAGTCAGCAAGGCTTCGCTTGCCTTCGGGGGGTCTGGGAAGCAGCGGACTTTAGAAGATGATCCGCCGTCGAGGATGTGGCCTGTACAGAGAAGAACTCGGCCTCGCCCTTCAGGTCGCATCGATGGCAGCACCAGAAATGGCCTATTGGCTGATCCTGGTGGTTCAATTCGACGAGGAATGTCCCATGGGATCTGATCCAGCTCTTCCGGCCTTTCGCTCCCTTTCGGGCCAGCGAATCCTCCTGCACGAAACGACGATTTGTACTGGCGATCTTGGGCAAATCCTGAATGGTCGGATTGGCTGGCAATGCTGCATTTGCAGCTATCGCACGGGAGATGAGCAAGTGAGCATAAAGATCAGGGACTGGAAGACTCTTGTTTTTCTATCTAGAGTGGGAAAGGGACTACATCTTTATAAGCGATGCGAATGAGTGTCTAGAAGCTGGTAGAAGGTTCTATAGGGAACGGTGGCGTGGCTGATGAGGATATGAGTCATGATCAGACCGTTGGAGGCTGATGCACCTTGTGTGACAGCAGCCCCTTCGAGCTGTTTGGCCACCGTCCTGGCGTGGGGCAGTCGTGAGGAAGCCGAGGAGAGAGGTGTGGGGCAAGGCGTTGATATCACCTGCGGAAGACTAGGGGGCGGCGACGGAGCTGGAGAGTCGGACATCTCGCCATCCATGGCAAATGGTATCCGCTGATGAAACGAGGAATACGGCAACGCGACGTGATTTGGGGCGCGTCACGCGTCGCGGGCTCACCAGCGTTAGATAGCGATAGGAGGCACTTATTTTTTTGCGCCGTATCTCCAGCGGCCGCTCATGTCCCGTTGGGGCACAGGACGTGCTGAGCTAGTGGGCTGTCTACAGTCTCCTCTCGCAAACGTAAACAACCACCATCCAGCATTTCATCGGCTCTGAGGCGCTCTGTGTTGAACCTGGTGCCCGTCAGCGGGTTGTACAGGCGCGTAAGAAAGTAAACTAGAGCTGTAGACATCCAGTCTAAGGTAAGCTCCAGCCTGCCTGGACATTTTAAGTGATTTCCATGGTTTTAACTCGGCATGAACATATATCAATTATTTCAACTTGCTAAAATGGGAGAATTGATTTAATTGAGAAGGCCCGTTCAACGAATTGATTGATTTGATTGGGATGATGGCTTGATTGAGTTGATTGATATATGATGAGCGCTGGCTCCATTGGGGGAAGAAAGAGTTGGGGGTGTTGGGTTTCGGATAAACGTCTTACCGTGTCGGCTGCCTGGCAAACTCCGCACCGGGCATGGCTACGCATTTTTAGTGGCTACAAGTAAGAATACAGTTCAGTTCAGTTCAGTTCAGTTCATTTCTCGCCAGGTCTTCAAGTGTTCTCTCGCTTCCAAGTCCGACTCGGGCTAGACCTTACCCGAACGTTTATCGCACCTTTTCCGATATTCAGGAAGGCGCGCCTAATGTGACGGACGGTGACGAAAATCTCTTGGTCCTTTACCGCCCGCCCGCCTTGCCACTCCCGCATCCGAGGCCCTCTTACCATCGTTGACTATTCACCTTATCCTTTGGCAAACATTCCTCGCAAACCACTGCACCATCGCTGCGCACGGCGCTTGCAGTACATATCTGCAGCTTTGAAGCAGATCCTACTCCTTCATCGCTCCACGGCTTATGTGCCAATGCTTCGACTATGGCACTACAAGCGCCCGTGAAGCTTCCTTACTTTCGCGCTGCTGCGGAACTGCCAGGGCCTCTACCTACCCCAGATGAAATCCGCGACGCATCAAAGTCCGAGCTGTCTCCTAGGAGGAGCGCCTGGGGGAGACGGCGGTGGCATGTGCCTCGTCAGGGGGTGTCTACGTTGTGAAATTCGGCGCCACCGTTACGGAAAATGAGGGGAACGCCCTTCTCTTCGTCGAGAAACATCTCAATATTTCCGCGCCCCGTTTATATGCCATGTACCGTGACCCGCCCTCTGGCCCTCTTTATCTGGTTATGGAGTACATTCGGGGCGTCGACTTGGAGTCGGTCTGGAACTCCCCTCTCGGTAGAAGCTAAGTCGTCGATTGCCACGCAGCTGCGGCCCTATATTCGCGCAAATGCGTTCATTTAGTCCGCCCCACGACTTTATTGGCGGTGTTTGCGGTGGCAGCATTCCTGACCCAGTCTTTGAGACGGATTGGCCCAATCCAAGTATCAATGGTCCGTTCAGGACCGCGGAAGAGGTCGGTTCGGCGCTAGCCCTCGCATCGCGAAGTAATTGGGAACAAACCGGGCGGCGCGGGTGGACATCCAGCTTCTTTTCCCGGCACCTTGCCACTGCCCTGAAGAACCATGGAGTAAACTTTACTCATGGAGACCTACACATGCGAAACATCCTGGTGGAGAAAGTACTCACAGAACCCAAGCCAGGGAGCGCCGGGGTCAAAGCAGCGGAGTCTGACCAGCGATGGCTCTATCACGTCAGAGGTATCGTGGACTGGGAGTCGGCGGGATGGTATCCCGCGTATTGGGAATATGCCTCGGCAGTTGCACGATTTCAATCGGGGAGTGATTGGCCGGAGACTATAGATGCCATCATCAAACCGTACCCGCTAGAGCTTTCGATGTTTCTATTGGTGCTGCAGGACTTGCAATTTATTTAGTCGTTCAATCATTGTTTGTTTGAGTATATGGATCCAGGTCGGCCTTTGTCTTTGCCCTAGACATACAGAAATAGATGACTCTTCTCCCATAGCTCAAGTATAGACGAATCCCATAAGTCCCAAGCTACGCGCTGAGCCTATGTCGTCTAGGAGGGAAAGGAGGTTAATAGCTGGACAGATAACGCACAAAGCGCTCAGCTGACACTATCGGGCTTTAGATATGGCGGCCTCGGCTGAGTATATTAAAACCTTGCTGAGCGACAGCAACGAGTATCCTAAAGCTAAGGGAGGAGAGAGGAAAGAAGGAAAAGGAAATGAACCTTGAGAGCTCCCGAGCTACCGTTGGTCCCCTGCCGGGTCGGATTGGTTGGCCGAGAGTGCAAACCAGGATATCCCCAGGCCCAACCCGTTACTTTAGAGGAGCGGGGGAAGGATATTGCTCTATAGTGAAACCGCGCCTGAGTGGAAACGACTTTTGAAGAAAGGGAGACCGAAAAATTTCACCTATGATACCATGAGGACGCGACAGAGCACAACAGGATAGCAGGGGAGGCGTAGCTATTGTATCGCGGCTTGCCGGAAGAGAAGATTTTCTAGAGGAGCAGGAAGCTTCCGGCAGGAGTATTGTTTAGAATAACTCCTACAACTTCCAACGATGCACTGTGCCTCTTTGCGACGGTAAGTGTTGCTGGCGTGATGCGAACAAAGAGCATCTTGAGCTGGAAGCAGGCCTATTGATGACAATCTTGCAGCATCTAAGAAACGTAATGATCTGGAGATACATCATGGTTTAAGGGTCAGACGAGGCTAGGGTCGTACTCAAACGGCGCCATTTCCGGCAGCCTTGGCGGAAAAGAACTCGAGGATCATCACTCCCGCTCTTGCCATACCCAGACATTAGCCGTCTCGTCCCAGTATCTGTAAAGTCCCACCCCTTCGTCCCAAACCCATTCCGATGACGATGACTGACCCTCAGTGGAGGGGATCTGGTCCTGAATGAGACCGTTCTCCCACAGGGCCGGAATGGCATACCACTCAACCCACTCGGTGCACTTCCAAAGAGGTTGGCGGTCCTCCCCAGGTTCGTAGAAGACGTATTGGTACTCGCCGATTTTCTCCTTGAAGGGCTCGACCCGGCCATGCTTCTTGGGGTTTGAGACCTTCTGTTGGGGTGGAGTGGGCAGCAAGCTGAGGACCGAATTCCACTGTCCCGGGTGGGCGTCGGAGTGGGTGTAACCCAGTAATTCCTGGGTGGAAAGACCGCGAGCCCGCCGGATTTTCCGTCTTCTTGCTCTCGTAAGTCATTCCGCCTCTCGAAGTGATATCGCCGATAACATGGTAGAGGGTACCGGACCCGTTCTTCTTGGTTTGGACGAGGATGGCGTGGTGAAGGCGGCCGGGAGGCATATCGGGGTCAGGAAGGGCAATGTTGTATTTGACCTTGTGTACAGGATACCATTTTCGAGCCATGGTGACAGAAGCTATGAAGTTATCTTGGGTTCTACTGTACTTGGCGGTCGATGGCCTTTCTTAACTGAGGGGGAGGCAGAGTCGTCCTTTTATGCCCTGCTGATGGTCGCCTGATGGCAAACTATTGGGTGACGGCCGCAGTCTTGGGCGGGCCACATATGCAGTAGCAAGGATGTCCAGCGCCTACTGAAACGTGCTATACGTTTGCGACCATCAAGCAACTCGGCACCTCCCACGAACTGTGCGTTGGTTGCTGTTTCTGCGTGGGAGCTGATACTCTGATAGGCAGCCACGAGAGAATGAGTAGCACCAATGAGGGAGAAGAAAAGGAGCCGACGCGGGCTTGCCTGACCACCGGGCGACCGGTTCGCAGGGTCGCGGCAAGGCAGACTACCGTAGGCAGCCGCGCCCGGAATCGAGCAAACGACACGGAAATCGTCCGTGCATGCGTCATCCGTGCACGCGGTACATCCCAGCTCTTTTCAGGATCCAGTTCTGGGCCCCTCTCATAAATCCAACCCGCTACAATGCGGGCACGGTTCGACGCCTTCGCTGCAACCCATAGACCGTTCGTAAGGAACCATGGCAATGATCGGACGCTGTTGGGTAACAAAGCCTTCTTGCCCGCGCCGGCCGCGGACAAGCGTTCATACAGGGGGCTGCAGCTTCACAACATGGAGCTGATGTAGAGTTCCGGCATATACGAGCGCTCAACGTCACAACGAGAGAGTAGCCGCTAGCCAGAGAATTGAGGGCATGCCGTGAGGCTCTACTGAAGGTGGCGTCGCTGCAGTGTCTCCGGCCGGGCGGACAGCAGCCTCCGATCCGGCGGTGGGGCTTCAACTGCCCGACCTCGACCCTTACGCTGTGGGATATGCCAGTGGAGATAGCTGGGCGTGGTCAGTGGTTTTCAGAGCGAGTCGCGCCGCCTGGGGGGCCGCAGCGGGCCTGACAGGCCTGACGTTCGCGAGGCACGCCAGGAGCTCGACAAGCTGCGACCGTGGGTGGGTGTCACAGAGCAGATCCTCGCTTCGGAGAGAACAGACGGTTCTGGTGGATAACAGGCTGAGTGCGCTGGAGAAGGCGAAGGGCTGGTGACGGGATGCGGGCAGCGACGACCCTGCTATTGCAGTAGCGCATTTGAAAAAAAAGCCCACCAAAAACCATCATTTTCACTTCCACCGATTTCAGCCAACTTTGAAGATATTCGAAAGCAACCGTTCTGTCAATGCAATCATATTTTGCCCTCTTGGTGATTAGGGCTTTCAGCTTATGGCGCCGAGAACAGCTCGCAGTCCCAGGACTGGCCGACAGATTGCATCAGATCTTAAAGATGGAATGGGGATTCTCTGCATTTAGATAACTAGAAGTAAAGCAAGTTCCTGTCCGCTAATCTCTCTTCCTCGCCTCGGTCTTAAGTACAATTACGCAGCATATGCATGGAAAGCATTGGGGGGTGGCGAAGCTCACGGGAAATGGATCATTGTAACAAGGGAGGGCTGCCCTGGCGGCGTCCATATTGAGAACGAATGTGACCTCTGCGTAGCTACTACATTTACGGTTAAATACGCACTCGATAAGAGATCTGAGGCTCGTAATTCAATTTTTTTGCCATGGCTCACCATTGCTTGGCCAGGTGACTTCGTTATGTCCTTGGCATTTCGAGCAGATTTTGGTATAGCACGGGCCGAAGTATCGGCATGGAATCGCTTATTCTATACATCAGAATCAACTAATGCTTCATTATCAGGCGCAACCATGGACATAAAATTGGCCAAATCTCAGTGAAGAAATTAGCCGCCAAATATTACCCTATCATAGTTCCCGCGAGATCAACGTCGAAAAAGGCGCACCATAAGCGCTGCCCCAGACCCAGAAGGTCATGGGGGACGATCCAGTTGGTATGGCATGAGTGGTCTCAACGAGTTTACCGTCCATGCCGAATCAGGGTTGAAATCCACCCACTCAATCCACTGGCAGCTCGAGCGGAGTGGGTGGACTACAATCCACTGAATGCCTCAGTGTAGTGGATTCAGTGGATCCACTGGGAGCCATGGTGGATTGCGTGGATTGAGTGGATTGGCAAGTGCCTTCATTCGAAATGCAGCTTGAAGCTTTCCTGAGAGACTAGCGTCTCTGAGAGCAGGAACCACTTCTGCCTTTGCATGGCCTGCATAACCTTATGCATCCCTAAGCGAGATGATCTCCAGCTGAATTCTGCCTCCTCCAGAGCGCTAGCCACCCGTGTAAGCCACTTTGTCGCCCACTCTTCAACCTCTTGATCTGACATCTGGGCCAGCTCGAGATTATTCGTCTCTTCTTCAACTGAGATGAAGAAGGGGTCTAAATCTTGGATGATGCCCGCCCGCAGCCACGAACGTAATACCTGGCACATGCCAATCGTCTGCGCCTCGAGTCGATTCCGGAGAGGGTTGACCATTCTGCCTGCTGCGGAAAAAAGGCGCTCGCATTCGGCGGACATTGGCTGTATGGTCAGGAAGTCGAGTGCCATTCGCGACAGATTCGGATATTTGTGTCGCTTGTTATGCCAGTATGCAATGGGATCGTCAACTGAGCCGTCGCCAGCTTCACAGTGCGTTATCCAGTGCAGGTATTCATCCTGGCCGGGCGCGAGTCCGTCTTGGTCTGCAGCTGGAGCCGCATAGCGGTTTCGTTCCAGAAATTCTTGGAACGGATTGCCAGAAAGTCTTCGCCGTTTTACCACGAGTTCTGTCCCCGGCGCCACTTCATCCGGAAGAGTAACCTCTCGATACTCAGCACGCCAGACATCATGCACGATCCTCTGTGCCTCGTCAATCCAGTCTGGCCGATTACCCCAGTTGCGTTCGAACCATTTCCATCGGTACGCTGGATGAAGGGCCAAACTGGTGTAGTAGATAGGAGTGTCGCTCAATGTGCTGTAGTAGTCATTTAACTTCTGCCAACCAAGATTGATGTTGATCCTGAGATGTTCGGGATCGGGAAAATTTTCTGCCACGTCTTTGCAGTGTTCGAGTTGTCCCAGGAGGAATTCAAAGCCTTGAACGACATCCCATACGTTGCCATATGATCCCATCCATCCGTGCTTCCGCTTTCGAATTTGACCATCACCTTCGAGCATTCTGATCGTGGCTTCGTAAAAAGTGAGAATTTGGTCAAATATCTCAAGTACCTCCCAATCCTTATCGGTGAGCTGACTCTCGGGCTGGCAAATGAAAGGCAGCCTGGTAGGTCTTCTCAGACCCCCCCTCTTACTCTTGTTTTGCTGTTCAAACTCGATGCGATGATGCGCGATGAGTCGCTCAACGTTATCGCGTAGTAGAAGGGCCCGCCTTATCATATACAGCTGGGAAAGCCACCTGGTATCGTTATCTAGGATCACATCCATCGGCTTTCTCGTGTTCAGCTTGGGATCAGATGATTTGGCGAATGCCTCTCTTTGGATGCTGCGAAGCATGTTGGTCAACAAGTCTGATCTGTGGATTGATACCACGAGATTATGCAATTTGCCCACTGGCCCTTTCTTGCGCCAAAGCAGATGCTCGGCTTCGGTGAGAGGCTCTGCACCTGACAACCGACGCTCAAAGGCATCGGCATCATGGCCAAAAGGAATGGCCTTGGCGGAAAGGTTCAAGATATGTCCGAAGCAGCGCCCTCGCCTGGCTTTGCCAACAAATCCCAGCTCTCCACCAATAATCTCCAAGGCAGTGTCATTGTTTGGCGCATTGTCAAGAGTAAAATAACCAATCTTGTCTTCAATCTGATACGATTCGATGACATCCAGGATCTCTGCCACAATATTCGGGCCGGTGTGTCGAGCGCTAACTTCGGGAACTCCGATTGTGATCTTACAGGGTTTGTTATCCTCGGTCCTGAAAAAGCAATAGATATTATACAGCGCATGCCGGTTCCCAGACCTCCAGCCGTCAAAAGAAATGTGGATTAAGCCAGGAGCCTTGCGAAGGACGTCTATGACCTTGTGTCTGTGCTCTTCGAACGCGACCATGATCTTCTTCCGAGCTGTTGTGTGGGTCATGTTGGCATTGCGACCCGAGACAGATGGGTTCAAGTACTCAAAGATGGCGTGAAGATCGGTTTCTTCCGCGGTGGAGAAAGAATGGTTCTTGGCTACGATCCAATTCACAAGGACTCTGCGGAAGTGTTCTTTGTCAAACGTTTGATGAAGCAGTTCGCGATGGCTTGTTCTCGAGGGTCATGTAGGTCAAGTTTCATGGACTCCGCGAGAGTTTTCTGTCCCACGGGCCTCCTGCGTTTCGACGTCTTCTTTTCAGCGGTACCTGGGTCTTCCAGGCGGGGCGCCAATCCCATGATCGTTGAATAGATAGTTGTACACATTATGAATGCCATCGGCTTCGAAATTGCGTGGACGTGGCGCGTTCTTGCGTATGCAAGCCTGGCACACCCATCTGCGATCGCCTTGTTTCTGGATGTCATACTGAATTGCCATGCCCAGCAACGCGTCTCTCTGACTCGCTCGGAGAAAAGCCATCCGGGGAAATGGCTCCATAGTGTGCGTTCGTACTGTTCGTCGTGGGCGAGATGGTTGCCATGCCCGTCGAAGGAGACGGCTTGCAAGGAGGAAGGGGTGGCGAAGAGGGCGTTGGACCAGGCGCTGGCTCGAGACCCATTCCGGCTATCTCGCTGTCGCTGTCGGATGAACTGACGGAAGGGCACGAAGTCATGTTGGCGGGATGGAAATGAGTTATGGGGGTTTTCTAGTGGAAACGATTTAGAGTAGAAGGTTGGAAGGCTGGATATCCCCCAGTATGTCAACGGCGTTGCACTAAGTACGCGGTTCGGTCTACCCGCGATGTAAACCTCGAGGACTAGGTACGGGTTTACGAGCTTCGCGCGCGACGCGAGGCGCGCTTGCAAAATTTAAAGTCGAGAGTACGGTACTCCATCAGCAAGCCAACTCAATAGACGTCGCAAATAGCGAATGGTATCGTTGAATACATGACCGGCATCGCGAAAAGCCT